AGTAGAAAGTAACATAATTTCCTTATGTTCATTATTCTCAATTTTCACGTTTTTCACTTTTAGGTAATATAGTATGTCCAACTTGACATTGCTGACCGCAAAAATATTAAAATGTTAATTGATTCAGGAATGTTAAGCATGTTCATCAGAAGGTGTTTTCAAGTCATTGTATATGCATGAAATACTTAATGTTTTATGAATGCCTAATGATTTAATTAAAAAATAATGTTTTATAATTTAATATGTAAAGAATGAGCGTCATGTCATTGACCCATTGATATTTTATTTATTTATTTATTTACACTTATTGTCTTATATAAAATGTGTTAACACAGACTGAGTAACAAACATTTGCAGCATATTCTCTGACTGAGTTTATTTTAATGTAATGTTTTAATGTATTTTAATGTAATTTTCATAGCCAGGAGAAATGGAAAAATAATTGAGAAACAACTGCATAATGTTGTGCCTCAGAACAAAATAAACAAATGAGAAATGACAGCTTTCAAATGACCTATAGTTCCCAATTACCTTCTTCTTCCTTTTTTATTTTTATTTTTTAGCTTTTTTTTCTTCTTGTATTGGTGGAATTGATGTATGATGAGAAAGCCAAACTAATACATATTTATATTTATATATAATTCTTTACTGAAATCAAGTTATATCATCCATATGGATTTTACGCCTGATCCATTTTACTATCTGACTTTTTTTTATATGAGATCTTCATCCATATAACATCTTTCATTGTCATGAGAGATGCAGAAAACCGTCTCACACGTGTAACTGTGTCATCAGCTGTATCTAATGGGGTTTGGCATTTTTCCACAGGCAAAAGGGTGTCTCCATAAAGCAATATTAGAGGAGGAGGCTTTTGCAGGCATTTCAGCATTTGTGTCAGTGGAGCTACAGCACACTCTACATCTAATGGATTAATATAACATCCCAGACCTCTTTTTTCTTTCTTTTTTCTCATTTGCTTTTGATCTGCTTTGATCTTTTAATCCCAAGGATCCAATCAACAAAACAAATCTCCCATCCACTAGTTATCAGCACCCTTTAATTGTAGATGGATAATTCTCATATGAAAGCAAAACTGTATTTTGCTAATGAATGAAAATGAAGTCTTACCAATTAAAGATATCACATGGCACATGTATCTGTCAAATGTAAAACAGTAGGAGTCTTGTGTTTTTTTGGGGTTAACTTGTCAGATTACTTAATGCATGCTATGTTTGGAACATGTTGGAATCACTAACAACATGCAGTCTCACTCAACCTTTCATATTTCATATTTTACATTTTGTTTACAAAAAAATAAGACCTGTTTTTAGAGCCATTAAGAACTGATCACTGTGACATTAGTTTTAAAGGGGTCATCGGATGCTCAATTCACTTTTCCATGTTGTTTGAACTGAAATGTGTGTTGGCAGTGTGTGTACACAACCACCCTATAATGATTTTTTTAATCCCCATAAACAATATCCCCTTTCTCAAATCAAGCTGTTTTCAGCCTCTTGGCTGTGTGACGTCACACAGACCCAGGCCATCCCACGATTGTTGATTGACAGTAGAGTTTAGGCACAGACTGGACTGGTGTCTTAGACCCGTCCTGAGTGAGCTGTCAACAGTCCGCCATTGTTTCGATGCTGAAGCAGGTGTAGACAAGAATGTCTCCTAAGCGATTGAGGTGTTCTGTTGTTGGATGTAATAATTGAACATAGCAGTCGTTATGTCGTCGTTATGTACTCACGACATCTGAGCTGCTGAAGACGCAATGGTCTACCTTTGTTTTTGAAGGGAATGCACCTCCCCCCATAAATCTTTGCAAATCGCCTTTCCTAATAATGTGCTAGTTAGCAAGTTTCATGATGAATGTGGCTAAACTTTACCTTCTCTCAGAGAACTGCACGTCACTCCACAGAAGAGAGGGGCGGGGGCAGCAGAGCTCATTAGCATTTAAATAGTCATACACTGAAATGGTCGCTGTGAACAGAGCTGTTTTGGCAAGGTAAAAAGGGTGTTGTTTTACACTATCATTGAGAAATTTTAACCAAAGTATGTTATAGATTTTTAATTAAGACCCTTAAGAATCATATCATCTTGTGGAAAATGGGCATCCGATGAAATCCCAAATCCCATTCTTGTAAAACATGTTAAATGAATGAATGAATGAGTAGTATACTACATAATTACTTTACAATGAAATGTTAGCACATAATTCGGGTGTGCTATTGACGTCACTTCCTGTTTGTTGCTGCCGTGTGTTTTGAGTTTGAGCTCCGTCAAGTTAATTCTTTGTCGTCTAATTTTTTATCTTAAAATCAATTTTATACACCATCCTTTTCAGTTCTATAATGTGTGAATATATCCCCTATCGTATTCTACAACAAAAACAATCAGAGCGCCTTGTTAGCACTAGTTCTATTTTTGACTTTCCGAGTCCGCTATTAGCATATAGCCCGCTAACATCGCCAGCGTGGTTGCCGCTAATCTCGCTTACATTACTAATATTCTATTCACACACATTACCATTGTTTTACTCACTGTTACTTGCTTTAATGGCGGATGTGTGTCTACCTTTGAGTGCAGGTGAGGACACGTTTGAGCTGCATTCGGTGCAGGTCGAGCTGGAGGCCGTGGAGATGCAGATCCGGGACCTGGTGGCAAAGCAGACCCAGCTGAGAGAGCGGAGAGCCGCGCTGGAAACATCCCAGGCTGACGCTCACAAGTCCGAGGTAAGTATACAGCACGCTGCTAACTCTCCCACCACCTCTACTCCGTGTGTTTCTCTGCACAGGCCCGGTGCACCCAGGACACAATCTTCACAGATGTCTTTCACTCCGGCGCCGGGACACCACGGACCCTGGGTGCAGCCGCAGCGGAAGACGCGAGCCAGGTCCCGGGCGACGACCTCTCCCCCTCCGCCGCCTCCGGTCTTCGAGATCTCCACCCGGAACCGCTTCGCTCCCCTCCGCGAGACGGAACGCGACGCTGTGATCATCGGAGACTCCATCGTCCGGCACATCCGTGCTACGTTAGCTGAAGGTAAAGTGCACACTCACTGTTTCCCTGGTGCTCGTGTTCTCGATGTTTCTGCACAGATACCCGCGATCCTGAAGAGAGACGAGAGCCCCGGAGCGGTCGTGCTTCACGCCGGAGTTAACGACACCAAGCTGCGGCAGACGGAGACACTGAAGAGGGACTTCAGGAGCCTGATCGAGACGGTGCACCGCACATCGCCCGCGACGACGATCATCATGTCAGGACCACTTCCCACGTTAAAAGCGCTATATAAATAAAGGTGACTTGACTTGACTTGACTTAACTTTTTTTCCATTTTATATTACCTAGGATATACAGCTGTTAAAAAAGAATATTAAAATGAAATGTATTCCCAAAACCTCTAAATACTGAAATATCATAACATTTATTTATTTCTAATGATGTGTGTGTGTGTGTGTGTGTGTGTGTGTGATAAGTTACATTATAAAACGGATAGTTCTGGTCCTTGATTCTGATTGGCTGAGCCACGTTAGAAGCTGTTGTAAATTACTCTACAAACATACACCTTTGTTTACGTTTGTCTGTTGCTTGGCAACCACTTTGTTGTAGGGTTGTGGCTATGAGGAAATTTTCCCACCGGTTAATCGATATGTGACAACACTGGTAATACCGGTATCACCGTGGGGGC